CCGCTTGCAACCCTGATCGTTCCAGTCCAAATTGACTACTTGAAAACTGATTGCCAATACTAGTCATGCCAACTATCCTTTTACATACTACTCACATAATATGGATCCAATCATATACTGCAATGATCATATAGTATATGTGTCAGGGTCTCATCTAAATACCTGGTGGGATTGATCATGAAAACGGGGTATAGCACTGGATTTAAAACGGGGATGACGGGGTTTACCCACCCTGGAATTGCTCAAGATGCCATAACTTTAATTTTCTCATCGGTTGAAACACCATGAAATCTACAGGATTTTGCACAAGTGCCCCTTAGGCCTTAGGCAAAGTAATAGGAATACCATCGAATACCGATTCACCAACTGACAAACCAATCCATTGACTATGAAATTTGGTGATTTTTTCATCCCTAGCTGTTGAGAAGTTAACTCAAATAGTATTAATCATATTGAATATTCAATAATCTTACTGTAAATCATATAATTAGTTATATAATGGTAAATTACTCCATGTTCAAAAAAAGTTTGTACGGGACTTCAACCATTTCAAATCACTATGATCGTTGGCTCGTGCTGTTTTCATCTGGTAATTTCGAAACGTTAAATCCCGAGGTGCCATACAGTGGATGCTTGGGAAATCCTGCACCAATCTGCACCAGTTGGTGGAAAAAATCCCCTGTGCGAATCACACAATTGTTTTTAGATTTTTTGGTGATTCATAGGAATCCCGATTTGGTGTTCCAAACACTACCAAATCCCCTGACAGTATAGGAATCCCAATAGTTACCCTGGTGAGGGATGTCATCCGCTGGGGCCCCCGCTGTCGTCCAGGTCGACCTTGTAACACTAGCGTCCCTTGCCGCTTGCTGAAGCGCGCACAAGCAGAACTTTCAGGTTGGGATGGTCAGTTTCCCCAGGGCAGTTTGGATGACTTAGGGATGTATCAAAAAATACACACGTTGCTGTTTTAAGAAATGTTGTTACAGAGTTAATTACACATAATATTTTACATATCATTATTATATATGATTATATGCTCACTGTGCCTATTTGTTTGAAGTATGTGTTGTATTTCATGATACACATCATGTTCTACGGGGCGTTGGGGGTTAGCGTGTCCTGAGTTGTCAAACAACGGTGCACTTTTGGAGGGAAAGTGATTCTTTGTGGCGGTATCACCATTCTTCGGCCAAGGAGCTAATGAGGACGGGTAGATATTTCTTGGACCGTGGCAATGGGGGATGAAAGCTATGCTGACGTTCACCGTCACCAAAGTATATACCAAGGTTTTGACCAACAGCCAAGTTGGGATCTGTTTCTGTTGCTTTACAACTGATGAAGAACTTTAATGGGGAAGTCCTCTCAAAATGACTGGCCAATCCATTTTTTGCAGGTCGGAAGTCAGCGTTTTATCAACTTTGCTCTGGGACCGTGTCACCCACTGAGCACATGCTCTTGATATGCTCTGCGTCGCGGCAGCATGAGCCCGGCGTGAGGAGGAGAACCTCCCAAAAATCAACATGTCATGGGGAAGCTGGCTGTGGTGACCTTCCATTTTTGGAGAATCATAGTATTCCCTATTGATGTCTTGAATTCTGGTGAACAGATTAAGGTGTGCTTGATATCACTTCCAAGGCCATTTTGGGGGGTGGTAACGTAAGACTTCCAACTCGTCCATTTGCCTCACCTATGCCAACCTAACGATGAGAAAGCAGACATGGTTGGTGGGCGAATTCGATCCTCTTTCCAAGATGTGCCACCTCCCTTTGCATTCACAAGATAGATATCTTGGGGGAACTGGGCGTAGAAGATTTGAGACGAAGCTGTTCTTGGAATTTTGCAGAAATGGCCATGAAAAAATGTATAGAAACGTTTGCTCCACGCAGATTATCATGTTCATTAGATTGTTTCTGAAAAAATATATACAGCTGTGCAATTATGTAGGTCACTTTGCGCCTCAGGCCGACCGATACCATCGTGGGTGGGGTAATCCAACTAGTTTTGGTCCTGACCCAGGCGACCTTTCCACGAGGCAAGAACGGCTGTGGGTTGATTTGGATGTTGTCCCCAAATCAGAATTGGGCAGAGGTTCCACTTGTACCGACACTTCAAGCTTCACTTGGCAAACTTTCCAAATGTCAGATCAAAATCACTGAGGGCCCAAGTTTCACTGAAGCAACAGCACTAAAAATATTATGTATGCGTAATATGTATCTTCAATATGTTATTGGAGACTCTTAGATGATACCAAGATATACCAAGCATGTTGACGGATTTCTTGGTGTCTCCACTTTTTCTACCCAGTTCCGGGGCACTTTGAAGGGCTTCGACTCCCTCAGGTGTGAAGAAGCGAAGGAAAGGCAGAGCTGACGTGGAGGATGCAATGATTGAAGTGAGTGATGGCTGGTATTTTGTCAAGGTGCGGGTCCAGAGTTGATGTTCAAGGCATTTTTCTTGGGTTGGGGGATCTTGTCATCAACATGGGATGGCAAAAATATATTAAAATCAGATCTTGGAACTTTGGAGCACCTAGGGACGTTGAAACACTATGAAACGATATTTTCAACAGTCCGCTTACATACTTCCTTTCAGTATGATTGCTTGTTTTCTTCCATTCCGATGACTGGAGAAACTGAATACATTCCATTTTCACCTGCACAGATCGGAGCAACTCTGCTGGGGTCTAAATTCACTACCCCATTTTGGTAGGCTCTGGCTATGACTAACATAGCCATGGTATCGATGGCCCAGAAAAATAGATGGTTTACCTATTAATAGCATGGTGATTTTCCATGGCTATGTTAGTCATAACCAGATGGTAGGTTTAAATTATTTCACTTCAAATGATGCTTCAATGGTCCTTTACCTCCGAGTGCAAGTGCTGTTTCTGCAGGAAATCTTCTGGCGACGCCGCTTCGATGTTTTGTTTGTTCAGCCAAACAAATTCATGGTGTGTTAATCAGACATCCCATATTTAACTCATAACCAATTTACTGCCACGATTGAGTACATGGGTCGATAATAGCAGTGGTATCAACAATTGCCACTGTAAACGCATACAGTTGATGAGGTGAGTGTTCTGGTACTGTAGTAATCAAGTGTATATTAGTGCTTCATAGTGATTGTGACCCACTGAGACAAAACCAATAAGTGTACTGTTTGATTCATAGCCTGGGATATACCGATGATATAACGTAGAGCATCCCCAAAAAAGATAGAAACGTGTTTCGAGGATGGTATAGAATAGACCATGTGTTCCCCATATTTCCAGGTTTCCTGTTCTTCTATCTATTTGGGGGCGAACATGTGAGCATGTTTCAAAATCCCTCTGTCATTCCATTTAATCCTGGTTGGTTAAGAACGATTCTTAATCCCCAATTATTGTAAAGGGTGGTATAATCCCCAAACGAATCATCAACCCTGCCAGGGGTTTAGCAGCCACTGCTCAGATACCCATTGTATATCCCCCATAGTTTCCATTATTTTACAACATGTTCCAACTCTTCGGCATCTATTTGGGGGTTGCCACATATATATATATATACTGGTTGGTGGTTTCAAACATTTGTTATTTTCCATAATATATGGGATAATCCTTGCCATTGACTAAGATTTTTCAAGATGGTTAAAACCACCACCCAGAATATATCATTATATCCCATTAAAATCATTAAATCATACCATATCAATCCTATTTTGATGGTTTCCTGGAGGTATCTAATGGTTTACCCATGGTATACTCCATGTGTTCCCACATCGAGTTGTTCTCTGGTCACCAGGCCACCCTAGATGCCGAGCTCACCGAGCATCTGCGGCAGGGTCGCCTCCGTCTGGGCCAGTGGCTTGAGCGGTTCGGGTTCGTCAACAGCCCTGTTGGTTGATGTTGTTATGAGTTATACTACCTAAAGATAGCGGAGATGATCATAAACTGTATGATAGGGATTTTTGTTGGACCTTCTGGCAATGGAACATGGCTCGATACAAAAAATCCTCCATTTAGTTCGATGATTTTCCCATAAAAAAAATACCCGCACTAAGTGCGGGGATTTCCCAGCTCGCCGCCATGTTTGCATGACACTGGAGGGTAAAACCGAGAGAAATACATGGAGAAGAAGATCCACTTACCAGCTATTTTGATGTGAACAGAAGGGTTGCAAGATTTTTGACCTATGGCCAAATATCATTAAATATCATTAGGGTTGAGACCTGATATTGCATGTTCGTTCATTCAACATGGCACATTCTTTGTTGAGCACTTTGTTCCAGTTGTGTGTCGAATTTTGAAGCGATGGTGATGTTCTACGACCCAAAGAAGCGAATGGGTTAAATCAGGTTGCTTTTTAGGAAAGCACGCAGGAGAAGTGTGGACCACAAAAAAGGTGTGCAGTGAACGAGCTGCTAAGTCTGGATCCATGTTTCGCAGACTCCTATATCTTTAGGGAATACTTTGAATGAACAAGAGCTCTAGAAAAAAATCTTAGATTGGTGTTTGAAGATGAACCCAGAAGTTGTTCTGCATTAGAACATGAGCTATGAATGATGCTTCTGAACGTTATTATTGAGCAAGCTGAAGGGACTTATGCAGCTGCAATCTAGGCATCTTCATGTTTGTGGGGCACAAGCCACTTCTTTTGACGTGGAAGATCCTTTGCAGCTTTCACCTTCTGCCAGGCGGCGTCAGAGTCATCTGATTTGGTGGTGAAACTGGTGGTGATTTATTTTTGGCGAATAGCAAAGAACCCGAAACATAATATCACAAGAAATGATTCTGGAACCTGAAAAATATTCCAAGTGGTAGCTATGGATGTGGTCATTCCTAAGGTTCGGTCCGTTTGGTTTCAGGGGGTGCATCTTGCTTTGCTTTTGGACAATGGTTTGTTGAATTTCTACTTTTTGCCATGTGAATTCTCCACAAAATGTGTGAAAGTCGCTATTTCATGCTGCTTCTATCATTCAAATCAACTTCAATCTTTCCTTGTGTTGGTGTTTCGCCCAGTTGATCCACGTTCAGTTATCATCTCTTGCTGCCAAAAACATCGAAAACGATGTTGCCAAAAAAGCAGTGTCGTGGCATGATCTCGTGGAACTCAACAAACATAGTACTTTTGAACCAACGAAATTGTAAATCTCACATATTCCGAAAAAAAATCACTGGATTTGACACAGCATGGTCCCCAGAAAAAATGTTCCGTGCACGCCGTGCACCTCTCTTCGCGCTAGGCTCCACCTTTCAGCCTTTGGCGTGCGCCCTGCGAAGGGTGCGGCAGGGCGACGGCTGGGCTTTCAGAAGGCGCTGGTGATGGGCCATGGGATGAAATGGATGAAATGTGGTGAACAATATGGTGAATATGGATGACATAAATAATGTGAAAGAAAACATAATATGAACATATGAACATGGTATGACATGTGATGATTCAAATGCTGAAATGTGGTGGAAATATAATGGAAGAAATGCGTAGGTATAAGCTCAAAGCTGTCACTTGATTTGTAGATGAGAAGTGTGACTTAAATAATTACACAGAGGTTTATAATCGTCTATATTTGCATTGACGAAGTTACATACTTTTGAACTGACCTGTTGAAGACACTGGGGGAAAAAAACAAGTAGCGATACTTCTGGTAACAGCTGTGTGTAATCCCCACATGAGGATTCCAAGCTTCAATATTTCCGAGAGCGCTTGCTATGCAAAGGTCTCTATTAATCATGTACAACTGATCAATGAGCTGATGATAGTCATGTAATACTATACAACCTTATTCTATCTTATTCTACTATGTTCTTATGTATGTTTTTTTGTTGGAGATATGAATAGGTACATGGATATCAAAGGCCAGAAGAAAGCATCCCAGAAATGGTAACCACGCCATATTCTTTGGTCTTCTGAGGTGAACATGTCACCCCGATGTGAGTGATGTGATTTGGCTCTGCGAATAGGGTAGCCTAAAATCCAATGATCTATTGTATATTGATATACCATCGGTTTCCAGAGAAAAAAAAGAACAGGTTTGGTGGTCTAGCCCATGCTGAGACACGTCCATTTGATTTGTAGATATTTGAAAGGTCAGTTCATGGAAATCTAAGGCTCCAGGAAAGGTACACCCCTGGCCCTAACCCTTGGTAAGAAAAGCCCATGGGGTGAATGGTGGCCACGAAGCCCTATCTCTCGAAACAGACCCAGAAAAGGCTTTCTTCTTTGGCCCACAGAAACAACCCAACCACGACTACAAATGTAGGTAAATCTTCTATGACCATTGCCAGCGATGGATCCTTGATGGACATCTGCCAGGCTTTTAGCTTTCCGCCCAGCAAGATCGCAGCCCTACCAGCAGGCGCACAGCAGCGTCGTTGCTTCGTGGTTCCTACCCAACTGGACTTGGGAATTACCCACCCAAAACTTAAAGGTCTGGGAATCATAGATGTAGTACTGAGTACTCACTCACCATGTTTTGCGGGGTTCCCAGTCTTTAACCCATATATTCACCTATATTCATCTACATGTTGGGTCTGTCAGGCCCAAACATGACATTGGTCCTGACTTAGTATATGTTTGTTTTGAGTTTTAGATTAGATCACATCCGCGTTGCATTTCAGTGGGTGTATCGTGTATGTATTAGCTCTTAAAAGTGTGCATTCCGACCCGAGGAGCCGTAAATATGATTCCAGATTTTAATGCAAAGATTCCACGATGAAACTGAGGCCTTCCTCACATCAGCCAGGTCTAAGCTCCCCCCATGGGTTTTGAATTTGATCTATTCTATTTTGGGGGCCCAGTCATGGGGGTAAGATTTTCCAGTGATGTGCCTTTTATGGGATCAGTGGACCACATAGACCACCCAATGGCTCCGCCCAATGGCTGCCGTGCGTTTTCCAGGCTTCGCTGTGATTCCGAATTTGGACGTAGTGGCACTGCGCATGGCACTCAGGTGCTGGATGGCTATGTTTGGGCTCTTTGGGATAACCCCACAAGTTTGCTATGGCTGAGACTTGAAATGATCATGAAATAAGGGAAGTAAGGGGGGACCTCAATCCCGTGGCACAGCTTCATCCCATCAGATCCCAAGATCACCAGTCCGCGAACCACGAGAAATCGGTCCATGTTTGTCCCGGCAAACGATACACGTATCCAGCTTCATTGATTTTCCGTCAGCCTCCAACCTTCGCTGAATTCGAGATCCAAAGATTTAAAGATGCAGAAGCTGACGTAGCAAAACTATCATGTGAGCGTGTTTGAGAATGTGGGTATACCCGGTATGAGGATAAACAGGATAAACCATCAGATTTTGGCGACACCCGGCGGCCATTCAATTTGACGCTGCGGCCTTGGTTGGGGTCTCTTAAGCACATAGACTTAATTAACTCTTGAAATGGTCACTCACCCGATCCCAAACATGGTAAATGGTCGTACCTGAAGAAAAAAACGGGTGAAATTATTCAGAATTTTAGTGAAACTAAGTGAAAATATGTAAAACCAAGTGAAACTACAGCAAGTTTGTTGTGGTCATTCCATATCCATCCCACATTTTTCTTCAAATAGAAAGGCCTGGCTGAGGTGTGCTTCCAGCTGACGTGCACTGCATGCACCAGGAGCTGGGATTTCCCGGCGTGGGATGGAAATTGTAGGACATGGCAAGTGTCATTATTGTTGTTACGCATTTTGGAATACACGAATCGTTGAGTTAGATAGTTAGTTTATGTTAGTTTAGCATAATTAGTTGCAAACGTGGATGACTGTATCGCAGGGTAATTATTTGTAATTATGATAGAATGTGAAGATGTGGGTTGCTATGTGAAGATTTCCTCGGATCCCCTTCTAGGAATTCTTGTGCCAACTTGGATCGAGCCATCAAACTTCTTGGTACATATAGGATTGCTTGTTGAGTAAGGTAGGGTTGACTATAGGGATAGCTATTTCTTGGGTCTCCAAGTTCAAGCAAGCTGCAGGAAATGCCGTGGGGAACTATTGAGGCGCCATTTCATTGAGTTGGGACTTGCACTACTGAAGCCATTAGAAATACTTGTGCAGGTTCGTCATATAAAGGGTTGTACCACCTGGTTTATTGTCCATAATTCATGGTATTACCTAGAATCCTGGATTTGCTCCATCAATATGATTTACTAATCTCTATGCGCAATATGCATTGATGTTTGTCCGCCCCAACTACAAGTTAATCATAGTGAATCCATGCATTGCATCACTTCCAATCCTGAATTTCAAAGTTGGTGTTGTATTTGCATATTCATAATTTTTCATCATATCAATATATAATATACAGTAGTTATGCATATATATATATATGTGTACACATATGTATATATATATATATATGTACACATATGTATATATATATATGTTTTTGTATATAGTATAGAATACATGACTCAGAAGACAATGCATATGTACAGATGTCTATGCCATAGATTGATTGACCCCAACCAATCAAGTCACAAGCCATGTCCCCTCAAAACGGTGCGGAGGTCCTGGCCGTTGACTCGCAGACCTTGGCTCGTCCCAGTTTGCGTCCCTGGTGGCCCCTAAGCTGGCGGATGGTTTGGGGAAGACGACTGGATCTGGGGGTCAAGATGATCCCATATCCATTTCGGTTTTCCAATTTATAGGGGGATGGTCGGGGATGGTCATCAATCCATTAGTAGGAATTTATATAAGCACTTATAAGGATTCCTATTATGACATGGATGAGCATCAACCATATAGTGTGCTTTGATCCTAGCAGATATGATATATCCCCAAAAGTGGGGGTGTTAACATGGTTTATTCATCCTGAAATGGGGATATATAGCCAATATAGTATGAAGTATCCCCAAAAAGAACTCCCAAAATTGTGTGGTGAAGACGGAGATGCCATGGAGATTTTGGTGTTTCTGAAGATGTGGGGGAACCCCAAATCAAGCACTTTTAGTCGTTGTTTTTTTCATGGGGAAACCAATGATCTTGTGGCACCCCAACATCGATGGTTGATGATGGTTGCAGTTATTTGGAGGATATGGAACCACAAGAATATGACATACACATTTACTACAATGAAATACTAGTACCCAAACAACATGGAAATGTAAAATATTTGTTGATACGTTATACGGTTTTGACCACGTTGAGCCCCTTGACATCATTTGAAATGTATGTGTTGACCCCCAAGCTTTGTGATTGACAAGACAGATCGTTCCAACCTGCAACTGAGGGAGTTCCGTGTGATCTCCCATGGTTTCAGCCAGGAACTCCTTGGTGAAAATTCTGTTGGTTGGATCGGATTCACTTGCAACCGCAGCTTGGACTATTTGGTTATATTTGGTTTTGTCTGAAGATAGGTACGTCGCATTGTCGTCATGTTCCCGATTAAAACAAAATTAATAAACATTTGGGGATACCATGGTACGGTATACCCCATGTTCAGACGCGCGCATCTTCCCTGTTTCCCGTGACCTACGGTGAAGGTCGTGTTGATGCCTGGAAACTGTTAGTGGTTTACTGAAAAATGGACCCTCAAATGCCTTCAAACATCTTATGGAATCCCGCAAGTTGTCCCGGAAACACAAAGTAATCCGATGAGATAGAGATCAAGATATGTATATAATTTTACCTGGATCCTCTTGATCGTGGAAATTCCCACGCCAAAGCCAAAATCGATCAATTTTGCCAAATTCAAGAGAAAAAGAGCTCCTGAACGGTTATTCCACTCCAGAACGTTTTTTTTCCACTCCAGAAAGCTTCCGAACGGTTTTGAATGCTTCTTTATCGCTTTTTGAACGCTTTTTTCCACTCCACAACGTCCAAAGTGTCCCGGACGGCAAAAACCACTCCGGTGTTCTTTTTTCCACACCAACCCCCAAAATCGATCTTTTTTGGGTTTGGAGTTAAAAATTCCAGTAATTGTTGGGAAGCTCCAGGTATATAATTCATTATTGTAGTTATATATAGCGACGTCGCTATATAATATCCTACTAATAGAATATTATTAATGGAATATATTGTTTATATGATATATGCTATCTATACCAATAATAACATTAACCAGATAGATATGGAAATTGGAAGATTCCTTCCATACCTATGTCCGTCTACTCGATGGTACCAAACATCATGGTGACAGGAGAGCATCCAACCCTTGGATCGTCTTCGAGTCAGCCACCTGAGGCTCGGGAAATTAGATGTTGGGAAGGGGGCGTACCCCAATAGCTGGATGGTTTATTTCATGGAAAATCCGAAAATGACGTGGGAAACCTCCATAGAATTTATGATACTGTCAAAAATGCATAGAGTCTAAGAGCATCCCAAAGTCAAAAGGTGAGGACATTGGTTATAAAGCCAAGTCCCGTCGCACGGTTCCGGCTTTCCGAATAAAGCTGACTTTTCTAGGCGGAGCTTGGCAGGTTTGCATGGGAGATTTCAATGGGAAAATCATCAAAACCAATGGATATTTTTCGGGCCATGTGACTGATTGCCAGCGGGTAGTGAGGATGTACTCGGGATATCCCATCATCAAAAATAGTGATTATATATATATTATATACCATATATAGTGATTTAACCATGAACTTTAAGCATCAAAAATGACTGCATCCTCAGTCGTGGATACTCCGGCGGATCCCCTGTCGGGGATGATCCCGACACTCTAAGCGGATCAGATTTCACTAAGGTGCCCCATGGCCAATTTTGTTCACCTACGATTAGTTCTCATCAGGTCCCGAGTTATCCGCGTTCTATGCCATGAACTCCATGAATTGATGTTGTTAGCTGAACATGTCATAACATGTCCCATTGCTGCGGGTTATGCAATGAATATCCCCATGATAGTTGTTTGATGTTGTTTGTTTATCTCAGAATGGCAAACCATCCAAAATCAAGGCTTCCCCCATGTCGATCGGACTTCGTTGCTACTCCTAGATTTGTTAGATTTTCCCCACACCCTTTTAGCATTTTTTTAGCAATCGTAAACATACAAAAAGATATTGAAAGTATCTGAAAGTAGATCATTTCCAAAAACCCATGGATTTCCATCGTTTTTCTTTCTAAGTTTACTGGAGGGTTCAGCTCACAGGCAACAGACAGAGGAGTCGCCAAGGCAAGTGATCAGCGGAAGGAGTCCTTCTTTGCTGGGACGGGGCCGGCCGAGAAGATCAGTGACCAAGAATTTTAGCTAGTAAATTAGCATTTAATTTACCGCAAATTGGGAATTCTCCCTTTAAATAGCCGAAGTTATCCAGGTCAATGGGGGTCAAAGTGATTCAATCCCAGCACTTTCTGGGGATTTGTCAAGTGGTTAGAGTACAGTTATGACCAACAATGTCGGAATGTAATTATGATCGGTTATGGTTTTGCCCCAAAAGTAGGGGATTTACCCCAACGAATCGGCATGTTAGGGACAATGATGATAAACTCTTGCTGACACTATGAGATTCTGAGGGTACCATATGTTCAAATAAACCCACATTATGTGACCAATATGGTGGATATGAATGAAAATGATTGGGGATCGACAATGCAAAGAGGACCCCTGATATATATATATATATAATATATATATATATAAGTTGCTTTAGGTCCGTCCATCCATTGGCAGATGAATCTCCAACATAAATGCCACTTAGTTATAAGTTTCAGAAAGAAAGCCCACCTTATCCACTCGGATTACACCAAATAAAACCTCATCTATCCATTGGTCCATTCTGTTCATAAGACCTGTCGTGGGGCTCCCTGTTTACATCAACCATGGGGGGTTTCAGCACCCGCAGGAGCAGCTCGCTGCAGCGGCAAGGCGCAGAAGAGGCCTGGCCAAAAGGCATTCCACGGACGGAGTTCTGTCGGGAAGTCCTGGGCTCGCCCTTCGCCCGAGGCGGAATCCATGGGGGATCCATGGGTGCCATTTTTAGAAATACCACTTGGGGATAGTTTATACATGTTGATACCACATTTATGTGATTTCATGGGGTTTTTCCACGGCTTGTTGCGGTTTTACAAGTTTACCACATGAATTACTTCGAAAGACATGGTATGATAGTGATTGATTGGGATCCTTTCATTGGGAAAAATCATGACTGTACTTGGGATTCATCATGGGGGTACATTCTCACATTCTCCTTCGATCCAGGTAGAAATGGGGCCTAAAGCCAGAAATCTTCAACAGTTCAGTTGGTTTTGGTCTCAGTCAAAGCTAGGTCCCCTGCCTAAAGGGGATGCTTCACACTGGGGTTCGATTGAAGTCATTTCCTGCTGCGACCCCAGAGGCGCCCCAATGTTTTCCAGCGAAGTGATGCCGTACCCTGCCCACTTTCGAGGACGGGGTGGATGGGGAAGGTGCTCATTGCATGTTGGAGTCACAAAGTACTGGCATTTTTTTGAACTTGGCAATGGCTAGAGTATGGACAGGGCTTGCTAGATGGGACAAAGCTTGGGTTAATGTGAAGAGCATGACACCCTTGATCGACTACTTGTTATCAGCAACACACTGGTTTTGCACCACAGATTGATCGCAGTCCCAGGATGTCCCAGGCACATAGAATACCTATCTAATCTATTCTAATCTAACATCAGTTCATGCAGCTTCGGCACCTAACAGTTCAACGTCATTTCTAGTCCAATCCCTCATATCATTTATACCCACACTAAGATTCCATCCCCCTCAATGGATGGATCCAACACTAAACTTTTTTTTGGTGCCAGTATGTGTAAGATTGTGTATGTATTTCCAGGATAAGGGGAATTACTTCCGGAAGTTTCACGCCGGCGATGGTATCCCATGGCATCCCATGGCCAATGCCTGCCATCCCAGTGGCCCAGGACACATGTGCGATCTGATTGGTGTTCCCATCATGGCCAGCCTCGAAGGCTGTCGCCTCGATGAACTCGAAATTTTGCCCAATGGGAATATGGCTCTGTAAACAACAGCAAACATGATGTGTGGCATGTTCACATCATTTCACACCCATCTAATTTACCATAATTTAGCAGCCCAAGTTTGCATGATTTCTCCGTTTTCCATGATCTCTTCGTTATTCGTGGGTTCAATGACCCAGTTTGTTGGATGAAATCATTACAGATGGACCATCCTTGTTTGGAGGCGCCAAATTGGATATGTTGATCGCTTTGAATCTATATCGTACAAACATGTACATCACATAGTTATTATGTGTTTATCAAAAGTGCATAATCGTTTATCAATATGTATTTATCATTATTTATCATATGTTTTCTTGATCATTTTTTAAAACAAAATCATCCTCATTGAATGATCTTATATTTTTCTTCAGAGTTTGGATGTTTTTTGAAGAGTTCAGTGGGGATGAGCCAACATTTTCTGAGGTGGTCGATGAAACCACCAAATCGGCAAGTCGCAAAGTGCTGGTGTGATATATGTCAATAGTCTGAATTGGTATGGATTTATAAAATGAAACAAGTGTTTTTCAATTTAAATGATGAGAATAAATCTGAACCACTTTTTTCCAGCTGGTTTGGTTGTTGTGGTTTTAGTATGGCTTTGGTAAATAAGAATCATAAGAAGTCAGATTCAAGGTGACCAAAACCAGCCAACAGATGCGATCATTCCAGGTGAAGCCACCCATATTTCATGATTTATCAGTTTATCAGCATGTTCCCCATGTAAGAATGGTCATTTGGATATCCTACTATCCACCCCTTTTGCAGACAAATCCCTATTTGAATCATGTTCGGATCCAGTTCTTCATCGAGGCTTCATTCTGTTAGCTCCACAGCAGAAGCTCTGCAGAATTACCCTGGTGGGCGAATCAGAGATGCACCGTGGTCGGCTTCTTCCTGTGTGGAATCTTGACGCGGTTAGTTTGGGAGCGGGGACAATAACCGACAAAAGGCAAGCAGTTCAAGGGAAACGCTGATAAATGGATAGATATACAATACATATTATGTACATAACTACATATTATATCATATTATATGTATTCAAAATATGTATATTTATGTATCTATCAAAAATGATGCGTATATATATGATAAGATGGGCACAGATCTGCAAATATGGAATTGAAGAATTGAAGATGGTTTCCTATTGTGGTGGGGTGCACTCCTCTACAAAGCTACCAATGGGACATATGCCTACGCTCCATGCAGATCCATCATGGTTCATTTGCTTTTTTTTTTCGGCCTTGGAAAATTATAAATTGCAGTAATCTCAATGTTGTCAGAGCCATTTTTTGACAAAACCCATCAGTATTGTCAGCCATTCTGGAGATTCTCGCGATGGATGCAAGAATTGAATGATGAACAATTCAGATTGCAACCCCCGGCACAGAACTGCAATCATCCACACATATATATATATACATTAATTATGATCGATATTATGCATATTATTTATAAGTATTATATATATATAGTGGATTAATTGGGCTATAGGCTATATTTAATCCATTGACATCCAACAACTCATGGCTACGGCGCTTCAGGGATCACCCCATTCGCGGTGCTTTTCTGCCGAGGAAGGAGTTGGCACTGAAGGCCCTGTCGGCTTCCGAGTCGGGGCAGGCACCGGATGCGTTGGCTGTCCAGAACGTGACCTTCCTTGGCCTCGGGGATGGGGAGGTGGTGGACTTTCTGGCTACGGCGCGGCAGCGGCTGGGAAGCAACAGCAAATAACACGCCCCCAGTGCCCTTCATGCAGATTGAAGCATCAGCAATGGATTGGTTCAAGGGAAACATCTGAACCAGGAAACCCTGTTTTTTCCCCATGAAATATGTGTGTTTTTTCTGTAAGATGTTCCTTAGACCAATCCACTCACATCAGCAATGATGAAACATGCCGAAACGTACCCTTCCAGCTGCCATAGCTATCTTCCCATCCAGCTCCCACCCAGGCTTGAAGTCTCGGCTTCACCGCAAGAGCAGCGAATGCAGGAAGCCATGGATTTTGCATTCTTTTCACCGGCCGAAGTACAGCAAGCCCATGCGAAAATTGAAAACGCCGGTTGCATGAGGAATTGACAAAAACAGGGGGGATCATCCCAGTAGCCATGAAACTGTGGAACCTTGGAGAACTCGAAATGATGACTTTCCAAGATCAAACGAGAAGAACTCAATAAACCAGACCAGTTTTTGAATACCAAACGAGGCTCAAGTTTGAGACCAATCCCCTGGCAGCTGGTAGAAAGTACTTGGCCGAAGCATGGCGACCTGATGATCCAAGATGGGGGGCGAAAAACTGTGCGAAGTCACCATACTTTGGCCGAATTTGTCAGGACCAGTTGCTTGCCTTTTAGCATCCTCGAAGTAGCACAGAGAAAAACTGCCGCAAGATGTGGGGGTCCTGGAGATTTGTTGGATATTTGTTTTTTGCTTTTCTCACCATTCTCACCACATCAGGTATTTCAACAAACCAATGAATTGAATGTGATTGTTTTGCTATTCACAAACGCTGAACTGTCATTCCAACTATGGTTGATGTTCACTGGAATTCAATGACCCAACTAATTATGTTATTGGAATTCATCATGACCATGGTTTTTTTTTTAGGTCTTAATTGGGAAATCATCCATAAATATCCCATAAATATCTATAATTTGTTTTGCTATTATATACAATTCCAATTCTTGATGTTTGACGCCGATAGTGGCAGGCAAACTGCCACCTTTGTTATTTTTTAACCCAGCCGATCCGAGGGACCCCGAAGTGGATGGTTTATAGTGGAACATCTATTAAATGGATGATTTGGGGGTACCACCCATTTTGGGAAACCTCTAGACATGTAAAAAACTAGATGATATATTATAGATGATGACATATGATTCCATGCACATAACTACTGATTGTCTCATTCACGTATCACAATAATGATTGAGCTCCGAACAGTAGTTGTTGTTGGGTTTCAAACTCTTGGTCTGGAAGTGGTGCGCATTTTGTCAACGTTCAACCCCGAAAACGGAACTCTGAAACCCTCGACCCCTGGAACCTCCTGTTGGATTGCTGGCTGCTGGGTAAATTGATGTCCAATCACTCTTGTAACAGGAAGTCCATGATCCAATTTGGATCTAATTTGGTTAAGATATCTCATGTTCCACAGTTCAGCCTATATATATATATTACCATATATTACCCATATGTCCCATATGTTCAACTCATATTACCCATATGAACCATGCATAACCGTTCTCCTTCAGACTCACCGTCGCCAGGGACCGGGGTGTGGTGAAGCTGAAGGCCAAAGGCAGCTGAGCAGCCAGCCATCGTGATTCGAGCAGCAAGGAGGGTGATTTTTTGTCCAACATACCCTCTGGTAATGACTAACAGTTTGCTATTGAAAATGGCCATAGAAATAGTGGATTTTCCCATGAATAGCATGGTGATTTTCAATAGTTATGTTAGTTTACCAGAGGGTAATGATTATCAATGTTGGATATCAATGTTTATCAAACATGTTTATCAATGGTTATCAACGTTTTATCAACAAACATGTTTATAACTGTTTCTCAATGACTATCCAACAAAAGTGAGATCAGAGCAGCAGACAGGATGATTTTATCCAACAAACTATTGTTGATCCAACAAAAGTCCCACAAAAACTGGGAAGTGAATTCCTGTAACAGAAAGAGATATTTAAGCAAGAAAATCAAGGGATAACCAGGATGAAAATAGAAATGGACGGTATCCAACTGGTTTGCTGAACAAACTGGGAGGGTAAACGGGTAAACCATATTGTTCATATATAATTGTCATAGATATCTATAGGTACAGCAGGTCATTGACCTGGTGACGGTGTTGATATTTCCCTCTCTATGGGAGAACAGTCCCCAGATTGAGGGGTAGAGTTGAAGCCACAAAATAGTCGTGGTGTGTGTGTATTGGTGACAAAGAATCAGCTGGTCAGCTGGTGGTGAATGCTGCCATGAATTGCGAGCGTTGGACCGATGACGCCAAAAAAAGACATGGCAGCAGAATACTGCGGTTGTGAAGAAACAGGATGGAACAGGTTTTAGTTTGAGTTTGTACTTCGGGTGATATGACCCAGCATTGGTCAATCAGCTTGTAGATAGGTTGTAGATGTACTGTATGTGTAAACATCTTATATAGACACTTGTATATATATATATTATATTGTTGTAGATAGATTCAGATAGATATGACATTTTCCAAGATATTCCCATATGTCGGTGAGGATCTCTTGATATTTCCATTTTATATCAGCTCTTTTTTGGATGACCCGATATACATCGCCGGCACATGCTTTGGGCTGTTGGTGAAACGAGTGCTTTGGCGGTCTTTTGGCTTCGCTGGAAGAGCTTGTGCGGCGACAAAGATGAGATCCAACATGATCCAACTTTTTTTTGGACCAATAATTTCATCAACATATCCTCTGTCACAGCCGATCTGGATGTTGTGGGCCCTGCCTGCAAGGTTTCTGTGAATCTCACGTTGAGCACTGTGCGTCGCCATGCCGCAAGCTAACGTGGTTGGGAGTTGGGAACCAGTAAGTCCTGTCGTTGCTCGGTTGGAGGCGGTCGGTGTGTTTTTGTGCCAGGGTGAATCTGTGTATGGTTAGCCATAATCCTACAAATACCTGATGTACAAGGCCCGTAGATATCAGAAAGTCTCATGTAAGACATCCCTAGGCTCCCATGTTTCCCATACAGTAAATTTGGGTTCTATTTTGGCAATCCACCTGGATTTCCGAAAGGGTTCGGTTGCAGATAGTGGCCCCTGCATTTTGCTACGTTTCCACAATGGAGGGTTTTAAGCATTGTTTGGCTATAACAGCTATGTGTTTTGCATGTTGGGCAAACTAGAAGAATGAAGGTTTGGAAAGAACATGATTTTAACATGATTCCAAAAGCGCTTTATTTCAATACATCCTTAAGCATATCATCATTGCAAAGGAAAACGACTCTGGATTCCTCGCAGCCTCTACCTTTATCCGCGGCGACGATCTGCTTTGGATATGGTGCAATCGTGGCCATTAATTAAACGGTGGATGATTCGGGACATCCAACTCATAGTCACTTATGATCAATGGTGGTATACTTATGATCAATGGTATATATCAATGGTATATGATCAATGGTATATGATCAATGGTTTGCCAAAAGAAAGGACTATTTTTGGACCAAAAAAAACACCGAAGATGAAGCCAGGAGAACGCCATGAGGTTTGTCGGTCTGCGGAAATATGCTGCCTTTTTCCTAGGCTTCTTGGGACTTTGACGACAAGCAGGGCTTTCACTTCCCTGGTCGCGAGCTTCGGGCGCCTCAAAAGGAATGATGAAAAATTGATACGTTCCCCCATTCATGGGGCATCCAAAGTATAGTGAATATAATATATTAGTTATATAATCAAAAATATCCGAACTTATAGTGAATGACTGAAAATACACCCCAAGATAAATAAACTATAGAATGAATAAGTATTAATAAACCCAAAGTAGAATGACCACATATTATATTAGTAAACCCAAACTACAGTGAATGATAAACTTAAACTATAGCTGCTTGGTTCAGTGAACATGTTTCAAGTGCATGTGTGGTGTTCCTGTATATTTGGTGTGATGATCAAACCCGATGAGTATTTGCTAAGAGTGGTTGGATGACCCCACAGGAAAGTTCACATGAAACTCAAAAAGCATGCCTTTAGATTACATGAAGCTTGCAAAGCATGCCATTTTAAGAAGGAAAAAACACTTCCAACGCCTGTTTTGCTGGGGAACTGTGATGATGTAATACGACGCATGGCCACGGCCACCTTAAAGTTGGGCTTTCCCAGATTGACTGCAGGTCTTAAAACATGATACCTCATGATAAACCTGTGTCAACATCATGTCACATGTGTTTCTCCGTGTTCATCCTGAAATTCAGCAGCTGGTAGCCTGGTAGCCCAGGAAAGCGTGTACAGTCGCTTGATCCCTCAACAATGGTCTTGGCGTATCGTGTGTGTCGCGTCCATCCTTCTCGTGGTGTTCCTGGGCACGGTGGCGTCATGGGCCGCCGCCATGGCCCATGATTGTTTTTATATCTTTATGACTTATGATGGCTTGTGTGATCATTTTTAAAATATCATATGAGAATGTATATAAATATTCCTGTATAATGAAATATTATATATATATACATATATTATATTATATATACTATTATATATATATATAGTGTCAAAATTCCATAAAGTCCCTGACTATTCGGCACACAGAAATTACAATGATCCATTTTGATGCCTTCGATGAATTGATGTGCCATCCCGCGGGGACGACGTGCCTCAAATGTTGCCATTTTCATGCGGCATTCATGGGAAGAAATTTTGGAATCACCGGGGTTTCCCAATGACCAGATATGGTATATAGTAATGTGTATGTATATATATATATGTATATATATAATATCATTTAGTATTTAAATGTTGGCTATGTAAATTATAGCTACCTTGCAACGGCCTCACCATACATGATGGTTGTACAGTAAGAGGATGTAAGATGTGTATGAATGATTGCTACGTGTCCCTATGTTTCAGGATAAACTCCATTGTTTCCCCCAATTTGACCCCCAATCCATTGTCATCCATGGCGTCCTGAATTTATGGGAAAAATTGCAGGAACCCCGTATATTTGAAGGCCAGAACATGTAAAAACAATGCTTTCCTGTGGACTTTCCCTTAAAGCAACCCAATCTCCATTGAGGTTGGTCTTATCAGGAAAACTGTGGGAGTCATCTGGAACAGTGGCTCTGACCGATCGGGAAGTCATGGCAATGTGGCGGCACACCACAAAGTTTAACCCCAGCCAGATTCCAAATGCGAGCTACGAGACTACTCCGTGGGTCCCTGGACTCTTGAGTGGGTCGCAGTGTCAAACCGTTGTGGGCTGATGAGTGATGAGTTCGGGGGTTGTACATTATCCGTCATTATCCGGCATTATTATCTCAGATACATATGTGTGAATTATGATATATATATATATTGGGGATTGTGGGAATTCCCAGAAACTAACGAGTATAATCCGGGATGAGGTTCTGAGTCTTCAGAGTCAGCTTAAACTTGTCAGATAAATGTCACAGATGCTCTTCGCAGGTTGACAACCATTGGGTTTGTCCAAAAAAGGAATATACCATGATATACCACAAAATGGGGTATACCATGGTATACCCCGGCCCAACACAGCAGTCTTATTAGGAAAAATGATTAACCAGTGGATGCAATGGGGATTTTCAGACAAACCCAATTCTGTCAGTCCATATCTTAGCAGTGGAAGGAGCAACGAACCTTCAGCTTCTTCATTGCAAGACTTAGAAATTCACCTTCAGCATCTTCAGCATTTTCTTTGTTGGGTCCAATAGGATGTGCGTCCGCAACAGATGGGTCCAACGAAACTGCGTCCCGACAGTCCACGGCGATGCGCCGATGTCAGGTGATCCATCGCTTCGCTCGGGGAAATTCACCGCAGATCTGTATCCAGTGCGTCGTGATTTCTGGAGACATTATCCACACCAGGAAGAGATTAGATGCGCACCTTGGTCCATAAACTCTGCAGTTCCACTATCAGTGGATATCAGTGGTTTATTTTTATTCATTCTTGTAGGGCTTAAAAAAAGGGCTTATATCCCAGCTTGTGGAGGTTTTTTCACCATAGTTATACCACAGTTATACGATGGTTAAAGCCATATTTGAACCACAGCCACAAGCTTCGGAGCATCAAAAAAGATATTGAGTTGACATCTCCCGGATTGAGTTGGTCCATAGGACAGTAGCCAGAACTCTCCGGCAACATAGCCATGGACACTGGCCCATTTAATTGGATGCTTTACATTGATTTACCTACCAATATTGATAGGTGATTTGCCGAATTATTAAAGATAATTTATCATAAATGATCGATAGATGATTTGTAGTTACTTCATACAGATGAGTGGTGATTTTGAAAAGCTAGCTTAAATTGGCATATCCATTCAATCCATTCCTGAGTTTTTTTGGGGAACTGCACTGCCCTGTTTTTGATTGATTTCCTTCGGGTCGCCTCTCAGCAATTCGTCCATGGATAGCAGCTGAGTTCTTTCCATTTACGTGGACATATGTTCGCAACATGAGGCAACAATATGCAACAGTTGTATCAGTATCTACCTCAAAAATATCCCTTAATTAAAAGGGCACTATATCCTGGCAATTCCTGGTACATGTTTAAGGTCTTTACGTAGCAATTGTTAAAATCCAACCGCTTCAAACTTGCAGAAAGGCGTCTGCACAGAAGTTTCAAACATACCACCATTTCTGGTTGTAACTGCTTACACGCCTAAATATATCACCTTCATGAGTGAAACTTGTTCCATCCATGCACAGATATGTGTTTGTTTGAAAATAGAGTTCCCAAAATTTGATGGTTGATCATCATGTTTTTTTTAACATGTTCAATTTCAATGGCAATTTTATGCATCCCCTAATTTTCAGACACCTCCATAATCATATATCATCCATTGAACCAAGAGTGCTGTTGATTGCTTTGGTGAGGGGCCCAAGGCATCGATTGCAACTGGAGTATGCTCAACGTCACGGCTACGATCTCTACACCTATGTCGGGGATGCCTGGATTGGTTCATCCGGGGAATCTATGGGATGGCCATGAACCAAGTCATGGCTTATGTGGGATGGATTACTGGTTGGTGGTGACTGGAAATGGAATTTTATGACTTTCCATATAATCCATATATTGGGAATAATAATACCAACAGACGAACTCATATTTTTCAGAGGGGTAGGTATACCACCAACCAGATTAGGACACAAGGTACAATCTAATGATTTCCCACAGGCAAGCACGAATCCACCATCTCCATCTCTCCGATCTGGCATGACACCATGGACGCCATGGCGACCTTTTAGTCCTTAAACGTCCAAGGATGAGGAGAACATCAAGCAGGGGACCACAAGGTACGTTGACTGGTACAAGTTGCTATCGACCCAGGAATTGATCGAGAGTGGGACCACAGGCCCGGCAATGGGATGATTGGGATGATTTTTGGATGATCGGATCGTAGGTCAACCATGCGTAGAAAGAGAAACATCCACCTTTTCATATGTAAATCACCATGTTCATGTAGATCATGACCTTTAGGGGCCATAAAATATGCAGTTTTTCATAGCTATCTTAAATAACCAGAGGCATCCAGTTTTGTGTTCAAAGATGGGATGTTTTGAGATGATGGCCTCCGTCAGCACCTCGGTTCCCTTCGGTTCCCTCCGCCTCGGTTTGTTCGAAGTCGCTTCAGGTTGCGACTACATCTTTTGGATCGACCAGGATTCAGTGCCTGTTGTGGGCTATACCCTCTGGTAATGACTAACAGTTTGCTATCGAAAATGGCCATTTATAGTGAGTTTTCCCAATAAAAATGGTGATTTTCCATAGCCATGTTAGTTTACCAGAGGGTAATTTCGGAAGCTTTGCACCTGCCTCAACAAAATTCATGATGATCCTGATGATCCCTGTACTTGACTCAGGACTTAGAATTTGATAGAGATTATTTAAAATGAAACCATTAGATTTCAGCAGAAAGAGTCATCATAATCCCAACTAGAGGGGAATTATGATGGTGTAATCAATGACTAGATGTTCTTTTCCTCCCCAGTGACTTACAGATTTGGCCCTTCCGTGTCTCAAAGTTTGCAGGATGTCCCAATCATAGATTTATATATCGAATTAGATGCAATCATCATATTTGTTGTGTTCTTTTATAATGTGGTAAAGCCGATGCCAAATACTATCCCTGAGATCAACATGTTCATCGATTGCAATAACTATCCCCAGTCATGGTAGTTGTTTATGGTAGCCACGGACTACCTCTGGTAAACTAACATAACTATGGAAAGATCCACCATTTTTAATGGGAAAATCCACGATTTCGGGCCATTTTCAATAGTTTTTTGTTAACGTTTACCAGAGGGTAAATCCCATTAAATTCCATTAAACCACCATAAACCCTCATTAAATCACCATTTTCCTATGGTTTTCCTATGGTTTACCAGGGACTACTGGGTTTGGTGAAGCCGCTGAAGCCTTGAGGTGATCATGAATATGTCCTTCCCCTTGGAGAGTCTGATCCATTGGAATGGCATGCACGACACCGACGCGGTCGTCACCGCAGATCTTTGGCGGTTTCATCACCGAAGCGTCACTAATTGGAATCAACATCGTGAAAAAATCCTCTGGTTGGTGGTTTGGAACATGATTCTTATGACTTTCCATATATTGGTAGTAATAATACCAACTGACTTTCATATTTTTCAGAGGGGTTGAAACCACCAACCAGTAGTTGTGGCAATGTTGAAGTGGTAACTGAACTTCCTAATTCAATTGCTTGGCATGTTTAAAAGCGCCTTTGTGGTTCCATGTTAGTTTTCAGGGCTGTCGGCTGGTGAATTTGGAGTTAAGTATATAATCACAGACGACATCATTTAGTGGCTTTAGCCACTTCTTAACCAGCTTCAAAAGATACCAGTAGTGGCTGGGGTACATTGACACTACTGCCAACATGCATACTTTGAGTTCAGTAGTTTCAAGTAGTTTCCTGCAATGCTTCGTAAAAGAAGACAGAAATATAAGAAATATACAAGATGCGTAGAACAGACAAAAGAACTGATGGATCCACTTGGAAATCTAACCTAGTGGAAGATACTCGAATTCCAATGGCGGACTTCGCCATGTTGATCTCTGGGGTGCCTCCCAGGCGGAGGCACGGTGCATCGTATTTTTTTTCCCTAGGCAACAAGTCCTGAAATCATATGTCCCTTGTTATCCCATATGATAATCACATATCATTACCAATGATAAGTGGTAAATATCCATTCTTATCCCATACTTGTGCATTGTTATCCACTTGTTTGGGAAATAGGAATTACCCATGATAAGGCTATCACTGATCAATTGGTGAATAGAACATTGTAGAAATGTTCCACTTATAATCCCATCTTATCATCAATTCTTATCCCAGTTATCAATTGGTCAAAAATGGTACCAGCTGGCTATTTTTGTTGCCAGTTACGGAGTCGCTTTTCCTGGCCACTAAGGATACCTTGGGTGTGAACACGATTCAAGGGCTCTGGAAGGTGTCCCGTTTCACGCGTGACTTGATGGTGGACATGTGGAGCGCCTTGAAGACGAGAGTGATGACTGGGTAGTGACCGGACCTGACTGGGGGTCCATAAGTGGAGATACCCTAAGAGCTGGATGGTTTATAATCGAATTCATTAACATCTATATTAACTCTTATTAACCATAAAACATATTGGTGTGGGCCAAAACTCTTATTACAGTAACCATAAAACATAGTGATGTGTACCAAAACCCTGGTATAAAAGAACGGTACCTGGTACCCTAATTAATTTCGTTGGTTAATGGACGGTTATTCCCCCAGTCATGTTGTAAGAATAGGTTTTGACCCACCCCCATATGTCAGCAACAATAGTAGTATATTGGGATACATATGGGATGAATATGGTATTTTATGGAATTCACATGGGATCAGGATGGGGTGAATATGGGTGATTTAACCATCAACAATAGGGGCGTTCAGTGATTTAACCAGCCACAATAAGGATTTAACGAGATCTACTGGAGATACTTCATGGGATATTTAAGCAACTACATGCTTAAAATTGCTCAATCAGTTGGTGGTTATATCCCTCCTAACTATTTCATACGGTGGTACCCCAATCAGCGGACCATCTTAGTATTGAAACCCATGGTTTTGGGTATCCCCGATTTTAAGAAAGCCATGATATTACCAATATAATCCAATACATACCAATATTCTGATGGACCTTGAGAATATGACCATTGAAAATGCTGCAAGAGGGGAGTTTACCAGGGGGGTCAGTCTTGAAAAAGGCTGGAAAAACTGTTTTGGACCACTGCCACCCAAAGAAAGCTCCTGACAGGTGGCGATAAAGACGCGTGCAGTTTTGACGTGTTAAAATAGCGGACCAATTTCATGCGCCAACAGATACATTTAGTATGATACGTTGGGCCATTCTCAGTCGCCAAAATCCCCTGCTGGATGCATCCGGTATGCTTCATGTCTGGGTAACATTTTACAAATGTGGATAACGCTGCGACATCACAGTAATTATGTATGAAATTATGAGTTTTCCAGATACATGGAGTCCGACGGCCCATGGCCCAGTTATGGGATATCCTCAGTGATATATGGGCATGGGTCAATACCTATAGATACATTTTAGTGGGATGAACATCCATTTATCAGCTATTTTGGGGTTCACTAGGTACCAGGGTTTTGACTCATAGCCATATGGCCTATAAACATTTATAAACCACTTGCCATTAGATCGCCAGGTATGTGGCAACCAGGTGGCATCAAAAACAACCCTCCACTGCACGCGACTGGAGCTTTAGCGTCCATTCTTGGCGGATGCCAGCCACATGACACCGTGCAACAGAAGAAGGCTTGCTACTTTGTGACTTTGGCCGTACTCGGTGGTCCCAGTTGGTAAGTGGGTTTTGACCCTAGTGGATTAAGTACTTATATATCATATATCCCATTTATAACTGGGGCTATAACCCACCTTGAAAGTGGGATGAGCCACCAAGTAAGTAGTTATAGTACGTTATAGTCATTCCCACATAGATGGGAAAGGAAATCATCATTTAGTTACTAGGGATTTACTCTTCCATCAATTTGGGAATGAGTATAATCTTCCATATGTATACACTGTGTATGATACAATATAATATAATATAACAATAATAACAATAATAATAATGATAATAATAATATATATATATATAGTAATCATTACCTCAAAAAAGATAGCACAGTGTTTCCAGGATGGTATGCATGATATTGGTCCAACTTTTCTGTCTATGTTGGTGGTGGTTGCTATATGTGTATGATATATATATATATATACATTCACTGTACACACCAGATAGTATACAGTATATACCTATGTAATGTACATTGCATATAGTGTAACCCAATATATATATATATATGATTATCCTCTGGTTATTTGACATAGCCATGGAAAATCACCATTTTTAATAGGTAAACCATCTATAAATGGTGATTTTCCATGGCTATGTTAAATAACCAGATGGTAGACGGTGGGGTGATCTCGTTTGGAAATCCAAGTATGCGTGCTATAGACAAATTCTGGGGCTTGTGAGGGGAGAATTGTCCTTGTTTTCATAGGGGGTATATATAGCAATCCGGACAAACAGAGATTCCAGGCCGCATATTGTATATACTCAGGCCATGTATGTATGCCATGTCATGTCATGGAATGTCATGTCATGTCATATATGCCATGCAATACCGCGCAATGCAATGTAGCGTCATGCAATGCAATGTAATGTCTGTACATATACGTGTCTTATATTCCCAAGAGTGCTTGAATGATAATCCCCATTTGTCAAGGTCTTCTGACTACTGCACGTATGTTTGACCTTGCTTTGTCAGTTGGCCGTATATGGCTGTGTTGCTGTGATCAAAATACATCACAACGACCGATGTAGTGGGATATGGTGGGGAAAATTATCTATTAATATTATCGATAATATATACATAATTTTCCCCATTATCGATACAAAATCCCTATAAAGTCAGGCACCCCCCATTTCCAATGGATGATCAGATATGACTCCATGATGTTCACCACGACGATTACAATGTTCAGCTGTCTCTCATCAGGTGATGGATCTTGGTTGGCGAGATCAAGTCTTTGCAAAGCAAGTCTATTATGCTGGGGACAACGCAGGGATCGGTACAGTCGTCGTCAACAAGAGCTTGTTGCCACACATTAAGTGGGTCCCCAGACATGTCATCAATTCCTATCCCGACGGAGTCTGGGGTGGCAGGTTTAAGCTTCTCAGCTGCATACTGAGTACATCTGAGTACTGTGCTGACTCAGCAGATGCCACAAGTGATCCACATGGAAGCTTCGAGTTCAAGTGGTTGATCTGCTCTCAGGTTTGGCGATCCAGACTTCATTGTACATTGTTTCTCACAAAAAGGAGAACTAGTGATGAGACCATACCTTGATGCTGCACTTCATAGCGCTGGCTTGGAAACGCACACGAATGTGACGAATATTTCTCAAGCAGCGGTGATCTAGAACAAGACAACAACACAGACAATGCAAAATGATAGCAAATCATCATATATATATATACAATACAATAATTCCTATATTTTCCTATATATGTAATTACAAACCAAATTACCAGTAGTACCGCACAAGGCAGTGGCGGAAGTTTCAAAAATAGGAAACCTATAGGAAAGGGTGGTTGTTGTGAATCAGGGATGGCAAAGCGAATCCACTGATGGACCGAAAGGTGCTTGAGGTCTCCTCTCTGTCTCTCTCGTTCTCTGACTATCTACCTACCTATCTAACTTCTATGTATCTATCTATCTATCTAGCTATCTATCTCTCTCTTTCTCTCTTTCATCTAATTACCTATCTACATATCTACCTATCTACCTATCTACCTATCTATCTACCTATCTATCTATCTATCTACCTACCTACCTATCTATCTATCTATGTATCTATCTATCTATCTATCTGTCTATCTGTCTATCTGTCTATCTGTCTATCTGTCTATCTGTCTTTCTGTCTATCTGTCTATCTGTCTATCTGTCTATCTGTCTATCTGTCTATCTATCTGTCTACCTGTCTACCTGTCTATCTGTAGTGCAGTGTCATTCAGTGTAGTGTAGTGTAATGTAGTGTAGTGGAGTGTAGTGGAATGTAGTGTAGTGTAGTGGAATGTAGTGTAGTGTAGTGTAATTTCGTGTAGTGGAGTGTAGTTGTGTAGTCGTAGTTGTACTGTAATGTACTGAAGTGTAGTGGAAGGTAGTGTAATGTAGTGTAGTGGAGTGTAGTGTAATGTAGTGTAGTGTAGTGTAATTTCGTGTAGTGGAGTGTAGTTGCGTAGTCGTAGTTGTAGTGTAATGTAGTGAAGTGTAGTGGAAGGTAGTGTAGTGTAATGTAATGTAGTGGAGTGTAGTGTAGTGTAGTGTAATTTAGTGTAGTGGAGTGTAGTGGAGTGTAGTTGTGTAGTTGTAGTTGTAGTGTTGTGGAGCGTAGTGTAGTGTAATGTAGTGTAGTGGAGTGTAGTGTAATTTAATGTAGTGTAATGTAGTGTAGTGAAATTTAATGTAGTGGAGTGTAGTGGAGTGTAGTCTAGTTGTGTAGTTGTAGTTGTAGTGTTGTGGAGTGTAGTGTAATGTAGTGTAGTATAGTGGAGTGTAGTGTAGTGTAATGTAGTGTAGTGAAGCGAAGCGACATCTGAAGCTCCAAAAGTGGTCCGAACCCCTAGTGTTTTGTACATTTTCACTTCGAAATGTGCTTCGTGCCACAACGGCGTGCACTTTTTCGACATCTGAACGTCCAAAAGTGGCGCGAACATGTAGTGTTTTGTACATGTTCACTTCGAAATGTGCTTCGCGCCACAACGGCGTGCACTTTTTCGACATCTCAACTTCCAAAAGTGGCCCGAACCTGGTGTGTTTTTTACATTTTGACTTCGAAATGTGCTTCGCGCCACAACGGCGTGCACTTTTCGACATTGCAACTTCCAAAAGTGGTCCGAAGCTGAGGTGTTTTGTACATTTTGACTTGGAAATGTGCTTCGCGCCACAACGGCGTGCACTTTTTCGACATCTGAACCTCAAAAAATTACGCGAACATGTTGTGCTTTGTACATTTTCACTTCGAAATGTGCTTCGCGCCACAACGGCGTACAATTTTTCATCTCTCATCTGGCCAGCTGGCTCCGCACCCGCCGCTTTAGCGAGCCTACTTTTCGACCCTCTGGAGCCCCAAATCATTGGAAAATACAATCGTTCGTGATTTTCCTCCCTTTTCGCGCATCTGCATCTTCTTTCTTCTTACTTTTTCTTTTCTATTTTTCTTTCTTCTAAGGTTTCTCTTCTCTCTGCCTCTTTCTTGCTCTGCTTTTTATCTCTCATATTGTCGGAAATTTGACTTCAAAATTTCCTTTGATAAATTCAAATAAAATCATATAAAGATATATATATATTCCTTATTATTATTTCTTAGATTATCTATTTTATTTATATTATTATATTTATAAAATTAAATTTATAATATTAATTATAGATTTAATAAATAATATATATATATAATAAATAAAAAATAGTATATTAAATTATTAAAATAATTTATTTATTTTGAAAATAAATAATTTATAACATAGATTTCTTATTCTTGAGAGCGTCTTAGCGTAGGGTGCTTCGAATAGTGGGGGTCTGTATCTCACCTTCTCATCTTTATACCTTCTTAGCTTCACATCTTCTCATCTTCATATCTTCTCTCATATTTGCTCATGTTCATATCTTCTCTTACATTTTCTCTCATCGTCACATCTGCTCATCTTCATATTTTCTCTCACATCTTCTCTTATCTGCTTATCTTTTTTTATATTTTCTCTCACATTTTCTCTAACATCTTCTTTCACATCTGTTTATGTTCATATCTTCTCTGACATCTGCTGTCACATCTGCTCATCTTTACACCTTCCCTCATATCTAACATCTTCTCTCCCATCTGCTTAGCTTCACGTCTGCTCATCTTCACACCTTCTCTTACATCTTCTCACCTTCACATCTTCTCTCCTTTCTCTCCCCTTTTTCTCTCTCTCGCCTTCTTTATCTTTCTCTCTTAAGGCCGAGGGTGGTGCCGGCGGCGAGTCACGAAACGTCAACCCTTTCGCACGAAATGAGGGTCGATCGTCAAAAACTGAGGAAAAATTGCGATTTTACTTGTCCTAAAACAACCCTTTCGCACGAAATGAGGGTCGATCGTCAAAAAC